TGGGTGCATCAGAGAAAGTCTTACATAAAGATGTTTGTTCTTAGTGTTGAGGAAGTGTTTGGAAGGAGACACAAAGCACAGGCACTCTGGGCACAGAGGACACTGAGCAAGGAGGCACAGAGCATAAAGAGCACCACCACCTCTAAGAACAGTGAGTAGTTCAGGGTGAACACAGTTTCACATATATGCAAGGGCACTGATATAAGGGCATAGTGGACTGGCCACGCTTCTTTTTCTAAGCCAATCAGCATAGGCTTTCTTTGTGAGCAGCAAGGAGCTAACACAAGTTTTGTGCATCTGTGTAACCATCACAGATTTGTTTGAGGGAAAACAAAGATTTAGTAATAGTGAGGAAAGTGGACTAAAGTAAATACAAAATAGGAATAGATGGGTATGGTCTGCCAGATGGGAGCCATGGCACAAATCTCAGGGTGAACAAAAGTTAGGATGAAACAGAATAAATGGATTCAAAAGATATTTGTGAGACAGAATCTACAGAATTTGTTGGAAACCACTGTGCCTGGTTTCAGAAGCTTCCCCCCATGGCTAAGGTTGAGAGAATGACTTTGGGACCATAAGCCACTAAGGAGACAAAGCTTATCTCCCTGGCAAGGGCACTGTCTCTACCCCCTTTACTTCACCTTGCCTGGCCCCCAATGCATGACTGGTTAGCCAATGATGGGTAAGATTCTTCAAGGGAGGGATGACCTAAGACTGGCACAGTCACTGGGAGCCCTCAGGGAAGGACTTGGGGAACGATAGAAAAAGGAGGTGATGGACCCTCACCCCTCGTCTTTGACATTGCTTGAATCCTCATTCTGTCTGCAAGAAGTAGAAGTCTCCTAATCTCTTGGCGGCCTTACTTCCCCTGCCTGACTTAAGCCTGAAACAATGGCAGAGGGCAGTGCAGCCCTGTGCTGGAAAGGGTGAGTTCCTTGGGGTGATCAGGCCTAAGAAAGAATACATAAAATCCTGTGAAACCTGCTTTGCTAAGAATGCTCTCAATTTTCTGATAATGGTCTGAGCAGGAAATGAGTTTGTTCTCCAAAGTTTTATAGCCCTTTCGCTAACTGACCCTGACTCAGAATAAGCACTTGTAGTTCTTCATATGTCATCTATTGTTTGATTCTTACTGCCTGACAATGATCGACAAGCTTTACCTGTATGCCTGTACAAACTGAACCCAATAAAAGCCCATTGAGGAAAAGACTCTTGGCCCTTCTCCTTTGAGAGATCAGCCACCTTTCCTCCCCAAGCAGATCATGTCTTGGTAGACTTATTCTCATTTGTGGCAGCTGGCAGGGGGGGCCCTGCAGGGGAAGCTTCCCCACAAGAATTGGCAAGTAATTGTGTATTTACGCTTGTGTGTGTATGTTATGTGAAAGTGGGTTGAGAGAAGGCATGAGTTGAGGATGTGCCTGATTTTCCGGGTTGCTGTAGTTGTTATAATTGTTGTTGTTGTTTGCTTAGAGGGGACTGACTGAGTAGGTGTGGATGAGAGATAATCCATGAAGGGAAGTATTAAGACAAGCAGGGGCAGAGGAAAAGGGTAGGACAGTAATTCATTTTCTTCTTAGACATCTTAAGCTTACAGTAACTATTGGGTAGTATTACACAGAGATGACCCTGCAGTAGAACTCATGAAAATGAATCTCATAGAGGATTGTTAAATGGAGATACAGACTCTATAGCCATTAATATATGAATGGTATTTATAGTCAAAGGAGTAGATAAGGTCCCAAAGGAAGGGAGAAGCCAAGAGAGAAGACCTAGAGAACAAAGTTTTAAGAAATAAGCAAGAAACAAGGATATGCTGACAAATTAACCAGAAAACTAAAAGAACCAAGTGATGGGGTCTTAAATCCCATGGAAAGGAAAGGTTTGGAGAAAGAGAATATGGTCAGCAGTTAGCATGTGGGGCTTATATCTTCACACCAATTTTACCTATGAGTAAAGCAGAGCCCAGAATGGTCGCTGACTGTCAGAGTTCACATGCCATTAAGGGGCACAGAAGAAAGATGAACCGACTGCTATCCTAAGATAGTATTTTTCCTCTAAATCCATTGATTCTTCAGCAATACTCCATTTGATGACCTAAAAACTTCAATTTCTAATTTACCCTAAATGAAATGCAAGTAATCCCTCCCCTTAGGATCACTGCTTTCTGTAATCAATAACTCATTTGTCCCTTTCTGATTCTATCACAATCTAACTGCTTCTAATTCTTGACAACCAGCCTGTCACCCCAAATCTGTCTGTTCCTCATCATCTACCTGAGATATGCCCTCCACCCTCTGCCACAGTTTGAGTTCCTGACCATCTTCCAGGAACTACATATACATATACATACACATGCACATATACCAAATGCGTGTGTGTGTGTGTAATTTCCCCACTGATTAATTCTGACCATTAGAAATATTCCATTGTTCTGTGCTCTCTTGCCATTATTCATACAGATACAAATAATTTGGTTTTCTTTGCTTACTTGAAAATTTTCAAATGTGTCTATTCTTTCTTCTCAATCAACCTGTAAGCTCTTCAAAGGAGGATGTGGCTTTCCAGAGTATATAAGAGTAGAGGTATGTGTGATGTTAAAAACTGTGATTGTGGCTTGGTTCACAGTAGGTTTGAGGCCTTGGCCTACACAGTAGGTTCAAGGACAAAGAATAGACCAAAATAAGCACCAAATGTAAATAAGGTTACTGGCTACTGAAACTTTTAATGTAATATGACATATAGAGTAAAAGTGGCCAACATATTTTACAGGAAACAGCTCTTCAGCCAGTTTTTGATTTTTCTCAGAATAAATTCACTTTAAATAACTATTTGAATAAATTATGTTTTTACAAGGTTGTTAAACATCTGCATTTATGTTACCATGTAATTCACATAACAACAGTATTTTAAATAAAATATTATTGTTCTTTTAACTTTCCCTTAAATATGCATTCTAGAAAACGTGTGCCAGTGTTACAGCTGGGCACTGAACTGCTCTGCAGCCCAGTCCATTGCCAAATCACAGTTCCCTGGCTGCTTTCTGAACCTACATTTCAAGGATAGAAGGAAACTAGTGAAACTAAAAAGAAAGTTAGATAAACAGCCCAGACCAGACATCAGACAATAGACAGTTATTTTCTTTGGAAGTCAGACATGAAAACGAGTCACAGAACTGTTCTTCCATTATTTCCATATTACTACAACACACATAAATATTCTGAGATTCTTTCTTGTGGGTTTGAACTCCTAAGTTCTTCCTTACTTTAAGTAAACAGCAACTGAATACCTATCCATGTGGAATGAGTGTACAGTGACTGACTTGGAAAGGGTCCATAATTAGCTCTTTCTGTTTGAAAGCTCACGGATGAAGTCACAGAATATTTTTCTTACCTTAGGTAAACACTTTAAAATACACCAAAAGCAGAAATATGAGATATTACCAATGTCATTTCCTGCACAGAATTTTGAAAAGAGCTAATGATTTCCTCAGATATTCTATTTAAACTGTATGTGGAGACATAAAATTAGTTATATGTCTTATTAACATTCCATGAGACTCTACAATATGCCTGATAATGAGGTAAACTTTACACAAGTTATCTCATTCAACCCTCAAAACCCTAGAGATGAATACACGTTATTTTAGATTGACATGAGGAAACAAAAGGAGAGAAAAACTAGTAAACTGTCCACAGTCACATAGTTAATGGGTATCAGTGCCAGAATTTAAATCCAGCCAGCCTGATTGCTACCTGCTTTCTTTAGGGTAAAATATTTTTCCAGTGAAAGTTAATATAATATAATGCCATATTTTGTAATGGGTAATGCGAACTTTAAACTCCCATGTTCAATGAAAGTCACCTAAACAGAGAACCCATCTGAACGAATGTAAATGCAGAAAAAAAGAAACACTAGGATGCACTGAAATTAACTGCACCTTGCAATGTATCCAAGAAGAAATGTTATTCCCAATATTCACTAAATAAGTTTGCCATCACCAATGACTATTTATCAGTCTTTGGTAATACTTTCCTAATTCATACAAGTAGTGTTAACAGATTTTTAAAAAATTATCTAAATATTTAGGGTATGAAGTAGTATATTAATGAGTCATATGCTAGTAACCTTAAAAAATAATTTATTTCCCAAACTTGCTATTTTACTGTAAAAGTAAATAGGTTATTAAGAACATGTCACATATTTTTATTTAATCCTTTGCTTAGGTTGATTTTCACATTTTGAAGTTCACAAATAAATCCAGAAGGAAAAAAAGCCATTGCCAAGCACTCAACATAAATCCACCAGAAAAATGCACCCTTTACAATATGTCATTACAAATTTACAATATGTCATTTACAAAAATGGGCCTTTGTAGCAAAGGCCCATTTGAAAAAATTACATGTATATGCCCACACACGCACACATGCATACATACATATAGGGTAGAGCAGAAGTACATTTACAGTTGTGAGTATGCAAAATGCAGTTTATTCTTGTATTATTATTTATTAATTATTGTGTTATTTTCCATACGAACAACCATAAACCTACTTTTTCCCCACTTTATATAACCAGCCATTGTGAAATCTTCTTCAAATTACTGGCCCCTGAATTTTCAGATCCATTATTCATAAGAAGTTTCCATTAGTTAAGCATTAGAAAGCAATTGTTCTACTAAGTCATTTAAAAGGAAATACACCAGCTGTTCACATTTTCAAAATTGGAATGTTCTTGGTAATGGTAGAATTTAGAGCACTTAGTATGAGCATTAACATCTAAAGGTATTTAATTCTACTCCTAAGTTCAAAAAGTGCTTAGAATAAAGTGAACACTAATAAAAGAATATGAATAGGAAGATACTATCAAAGAAAATCTTTTATTTTAATTTCACACAGGACAAATGGCAAAACATTAAATAATAGCATGAGGGAATTTAACTAAGTAGGCTGAAAGCATTAAAAAATATTTCTTTCTACTTATCATTAGAAAGATTTCCTTACCATGTACTCCATATTTGATGCTGTTGGGTACACCTGACTTCGTAATTTATTATGAAGGTCCAAGATACTCTGCATGTCATTGTCTGTGATGGCCCTTTTCCCTCTTTGCTTGGCGGTCCACCACTCGCCATCCTCGTCCATGTACTTTTCCAAAAGTTTTTCCAATAAAGTGGCATTAGGAACTACCATGGCTGGAACGGCTGTAGCCATGAATAGCAGCACTGTGGTCGCTCTGAGCCACTCCCGTGTGGTATGCTTCATAATGAATGACCTCAGGATCTCCCTGGGAAAATCTCCAAGACAGGTTCTTCCACTCCTTTTGGGTATAATGACATGCAGTGTAATTAACGTGAAAATCTAGGCAGATATTAATTTTCTGGTAGTAAAAGTTAAACAGGTACAAAGGGAATATGCTAGTTTGATTTGTCTATATATAATGCCAGCGAATAAACATGTATTTTTGAAACAATTAATCCCCTTTTCCTCCAGAGGACTGAACACAATGTGCTGTTCCCACAAAACGGACAATATAGTTTCTAAGATAATATGCATGAGATCAAAAAGAAATGGCAAAAGTAGCCCAAAAGTGTCAACGCTTGAAAATAATTCCTCAATTATAAGACTTTAAATGGCTATAATTACATACAGCCTGCAAAGGGCATTACCTACCTAGAACGTTTTATATCAATCAGAGGTCCATGTTACTCTGTGTTCTAAAGCATTATATTTATCCCAGCGTCCTATCTCTAGGTCACAGACATTCAGAATGTCCGCACCATTCTGAAATTCAGGTGACTATTTTAAAGTACAAAATGTTATTCGTAAGTACACCCATTGGTAAGACCAGAGGGCCCAGTGAACGAATGCGAATGAATGGTTCAGTCACTGGAGGAAGTCTCCTCTTTCCCAGACACAAGCCAAAAAGAACTCAATAATTTTTCCTGTGAAGTGTGCCTAATTTGTGGCCCGCACCTGACAGAATGGACAATTCACCCGCAACTTCATAGTTTTTCCGGCCACACGCCACAAACGCACACACTGTTCACTTTACCCAAAAAGAAGCGCGTTCAAAAGAAGGGCGTGAAACTCAGTCACTTACAAGAACCAGCTCCCCGTAGTCTCCATCACCGCTGCTTTCCAAGCAGCTCACCCACCTTCGCGTCTGACCCTGCTCTGCAAATTGGTTTTATTTAAAAGCAGGGGTTAAGAAAAAGAAGGTAGCTAGGAAAAGGAGGATGCGTGACGACTCCGCGATGAGTTTTAGAAATGTCTACCTCTCCAGTGTGAAGTTCCCCTTCGAGAGCGGAGCCCAACGAGCTAAGCCTGCCGGCCTCCTGTCCCGGCTCCACAAGCCACCGCACACAGGCAGCCCCTTTCTGGATGGATCCGCCACAACGCGGCGTCCGGGGCGACCAGGGCTCCGACTGCAGCGAGATTCGAGCCTGGGCCTCTGCGCTTCCCTAGGACCTGCACGGAGTGGCAGGCAAAGCGCTTCAAAGTTGGAGCCTGAAGATGGAGAGCAGAGGAGGCCGCCTACTTAGCTGGACAGTGAGCGGAAAAGCCTCTCTGAGCACTTTCTGCTGGAGCTGGGGGCGGAGACAGCATCAAACCCGGCGGGGAAGGCAGGCGGCGACCTGGAGCTCCCGGGCTGTTCGGTGTCTTGTGCGCAGAGCCTGGCGACCAGAGCTTCCGCGGCTACTCCTGCCCTGGCTCTTTATTAAGGTCCCTTCGCGCGCACGTGACTGGGACGCCCTCCTAACCCACCCCCACCTCTCCCTTTCCTGGACTCGCACGCTCTGTGGGAGCGAGGAGCAGCCACCAGCCTCGCCCGGGCCCCTGGAAGCCAGGATGCGTGGCCTCTGTGGGGACCCTGTGGGAGGTGTGTGCAAGAAGAACTCTAACTTCTCCCGCCCCTCGCGACTCACCCCCTTCTAGTTATTTCCAGATGAGATGCTAAAATGGTTTTAACAACTGCTACAGAAAGGAGCTGCTCCCGCTGAGGGAGAGGGATGGTTCCAGCACTTTCACATTTGCAGTGGCAGAAAGGGAGCTTAGGGGTGAGAGAGGCGAATGGTGAAAGGGAGAGGGGAGTAGGGAGAGAATGACTTTTCCTTTTATTTTCCCCAAGGGATCGCTTTTGTTTCCAAGAGCTATTATGAAGAATTCAGAAGTTGTTGTTTTTGGCTCCTTTAGACCTTGATGGTGACCAGATGGGGAAGGGTTTTCATAGAATGAGGGCTTATCTGTGACCCAGGATTGTCTAGCAGTTGAAGGCCCCACTTCATCCATAAAATACATGGCATTCGCTTCCCAAGGTGACCACTGCACTTTTTCTCTTTCCGATGGTAGGCATTCATGGAGTCGAAATAAAGTGTATCCTCAATTTATTTTTCAGAGCTATGTGGACCGGAATTCAAAACCCAAACCCAGAATTGATGGCAAAATGAGCAAGTGAGTTCCTTCTTTTTCATGCTATAATCTGAAGTAGCATAATTACTAATTTTAAATTTACAAATACTCACCCTACTGAGTATGGTATGGCTTCTACAGGCACATTTTTTAAAATTAAGAAACATTTAATTAATTTGCCTTTGCTTCCCTTCTGTAGTGAGCCATGATCTGAATTTTCTTTATCTCTAAATGCTGGAGTGTGATCAAATATACACCGTGAGAGTAACTCCAAAGCCATTCCAAACTGCTGCTTGTCTCCACCATCCAACTATACTTTTATCAAACCTAAAAATTCAGATCTAAGCATCTGCTGACTATGAGAACTTGCTTCTCAAAATCAAGAAAAGGGTAATGTCACCTAACAGAAGGGCACAGGTTTTGGTGACATAGTACTTTCATAGGAAGTGTAATTTTGAAATTTCATAGCAGCATAAGCACAAGAACACTGTTTTGTTTGTACTTCAAAAATAATTATTAAAAGCCCTTCTGCACAGGGTTCAGGAAGCTGGCTTTCCCTCTTGAAAAGTGATGGAAGACCCCAAAGTTAATGATATAAGAACTATCATTTATCATAGAAGATGAAGAATATGCTTCTATACTGCAGTTTTAATGAGGTTATTTTAAAGTATACTGAATATCAAAACCATTAAAAGTAGTAACACTACTTGAAACATTTTCAAAGAGGATATAATTTAGGAAGAAAGCAACTAATAAATGAAATTAAGTGCATTGACTCTTGAATGTTTCCATTATCAACTTAGTATATATTTTATACACATTATACATCAGACACATACAGGTGTATGTCAACAAAAATAAGTGTTGGTTAATCCTAAACCTTTTCCTAGGCAAGAATAAAGAAAGAGCTTATATTCCTTAGTGTTCCTGTTTGCTTCCAATATGGTACTGCAGTTCATACTTTTAAGTAAAAAAATGATTTGAACATTCACCATATTAATCATTGGTATATCTGATTTAATATGTATTCAGGAAATGTCATTTTAAAGAGTAATCAGACAATATTCTCAAATACTCAAAGATGACACTGTTCAGATTTTTAGGTGTTGTTGAGAAATATGTATGTAGACAGAAGAAAACACCTCCACACAGAAATGTGAAATGGCACTTTGGTTTGTGGCTGAGGCTGCTAGTTGTAAAGTCATGGTTGTTTTTAGCATTACTACTTTCTTGTGGCACATACTGGTTGGTTACCTAACCAAAACCAGCCTTCCACAGTTTTCTTCTAAGCCCATAGTCCCCAATTTACTGGGGGTGTGCATCCTTGCACAGGCCTTCAATCTGGCATCTGTAGAAGGTGAGTGTTGGTTAGTCAAAGGCAGTCATCACAACCCTCTGCCAGTGATTGACTTAGCATGGACAAGCCATGCAACCCTGGCTACTGAAAGGAAGCAATGAACTTGAGGGTGAGGAGGAAAGTTGGCAAGCATTTTCTTTTGTGATAAAAAGAGATTCAGAATGAGAAAATGTCCCTTCAGGTGCTGTTGTATAAGTCTGTGAAATTTAAAAATGTAGATTTTACTGTGTAAAAAACCTTATCATCTTGGCTGAGCAGGAAGAGAGATAGTGTCTGAGTCTTCCTGCCATTGACAAATCATTGAACAGCAGCCTCCATTTTTCTGGTCTTCAGAGATAGTAAATTTATTGTTTAAGCCACAAAGACTTGGGTATTCAGTTACCTGCAACTCAAAAATGTCTGGTATATTTTTACAAAGTATATTTTTTATATTTCTCCACTTTTCTCTGGAGATATATTTTTTCCATGCTACTGCTGCTATCATTTTCTGCACATGTGCACACTTATCAGTTATCTTTAAATATATTCACATGTTTTCTATCTGTACTTGCAAAAGTGAGTATGTATTCATGTTTAGGCATTTCATCCACTGTATATTCACATGACCCCAAATCTCAGCTTCAAGCCTGTTCTATGACTGTTCTATGACCACTTTGCTAGTGAGTACATCCTCCATTGGAGAACACAAAAATTGAATTTATGTTGTTTTGGGAGGGAGAATCAGTGTAGTGAAATGTTTTAAAGCATGTAATTTTAAGTTAAGATGCCTAAATTCATTTTATGATATATCGCTAGTCATGGGACCTTGATTGTGCTATTTGGCCTCTATGAGTCCTAAACCCTTCCTCTTTTAAGTGAAATGATAATGGTTTCTATATGACTTTGCCACTTTGACTTTGTGAGTTAAGGTGAGTTAATACATAAAAATACTTAAGTAGAGGTACTCAATGAGTTAAATATAATTATTATAAACACTCAAGTAGAGGCTTTATAATTGCTATTTTATAACTTTAGTGGGCTTTAATCAAAGTACTATTCAGTTTAAAAGTTTAGTGTTTGAACACAAGATAGCAGTAACTGGCTACAGACATGATAGAAAATGATCTATAATATTCTGGCAATGTAGAGTATTTTTTCCTTTCACAACTGATAGAGTTTCCAATTCTTCTTACCATAGGACAGTTTCCATTTTTATCTAAAGCAGCCATTTGTCTCTGCCTCAAGACCTGAAAATACAGTTAAGCCTTGAGCAATGCGGGGTTGGGAATGCCTACCTCCACATAGTCAAAAATACACATGTAACTTTTGACTCTCAGAACTTAGCTACAGACTGCCCTGTGCACCTGCCAATTCAGCCAACCGAGGTTTGAAATCAGTATTTTTAATACTCAGGTCAGACTCCATGGTTGGTGATTTGTGGTTCAAAATTTGAAAATACGGTTTTTAACTTGCAAGTGGGAATGTACAAGTGGGAACCTATAGTCTCTCTTGAGTGTACAACTCAATGAAATTTTACAATTAACACATCTGTGTAAAAACCACTTGCATGCAGAGAGAGAACTATCTCCGAGAAGCCTCCTTTGTGTCTCCTGCATGCTGCATGCTCTCCAAATGGAAGTAATATTTCAACTTCTTATCTAAAATTAGTTTTGCCTGTTTTTAATCTTTACAAAAATGGAATCATACAGTGGACAACTGTATTGTTTGGCTTCCTTTGTGCCTTGTTTCTTTTATTCAATATCCATCAATGTTGTATATAACAGTGATTAGTTCTATTTCTTTGATGAACATACCACAACTTATTTACCCATTCTGTTGTTCAGTGTTAGAGTTGTTCCCCATTTAGGACTGTAAAGTAATGCTGCTAAGAACATTCATGTAATGTGTCTTTGTGTGCATATAGAGGGTAGGGCAAAAAGTCAATTTACAGCTGTATGTAAACCAGAGTTTATTCTTGTATTATTATTGATTAATTATTCTTTTTCACAGGAACAACTGAAAACCTACTTTTGCCATACTCTATATTTACACTTTTTTTATAAATAAAATTTTATTGAAATACAACAATGCTCATTCATTTATATAATGTTTTTGACTACTGTTTTCTTTTGAATATTTTATATTGTTGTCCAAGTACAGTTGTCTCCACTTTTCCTCCACCATTCCCCCCAGCCATCCCCACTTCCCTCCCCTGATCCAATCCTCCTTTGGTTTTGTTCATGTGTTCTTTATACATGTTCCTGAAAACCCTTCCCCCTTTTCCCTCCATTATCCCCTCCCATGTCCTATCTGGTTACTGTCAGTTTGTTCTTAATTTCAATGCTTCTGGTTATATTTTGCTTGCTTGCTTGCTTTGTTGATTTGGTTGCACCTATAGGTGAGATCAATATGGAATTTCCTTGGAAAAATAAAAATGAAACTGCCTTTTGACCTGGCAATTCCACTGCTGGGATTATACCCTAAGAATCCTGAAACACTAATTCAAAAGAACCTATGCACCCCAATGTTGATAGAAGCACAATTTACAATACCCAAGTGCTGGAAGCAACCTAAGTACCCATTAGTAAATGAATGGATCAAGAAACTATGGTACATTTACATAATGGAATACTATGCAGCAGAAACAAAAGTAGTAACTCCTACCCTTTGCAATAGCATGGGTGGATCTGGAGAGCGTTATGCCAAGTGAAATAAGCCAAATGGTGAAAGATAAATATATTTATACTTTTTTAAAGCTGACTTTTATCTGGGAGTAGCACTCTGGGACCTAACATATATGGGCATATTTATTGATTTGTAGGAATGTTTTTTAAGGGTTGGCACCAAGTTTTTTTTAGATA